TAGACTACACTAAGATACATAATTAAGTGCATCGGTTTTTGATTTCCATGAACGGTTTTGCCATGGTTACTAAAAATAGAAATTTCTGTGAAATTCCTTTAAAACGCTACTCCTCCTACATTTTTGGTCTGATTTCAATATAACTTGGCACACAAGTAGACTACACTAAGATGCATAATTTAGTGCATCGGTTTTTGATTTCCATGAACGATGTTGCCATGGTTACTAAAAATAGAAATTTCTGTGAAATTCCTTTAAAACGCTACTCCTCCTACAGTTTTGGTCTGATTTCAATATAACTTGGCACACAAGTAGACTACACTAAGATACATAATCTAGTGCATCGGTTTTTGATTTCGATGAACGGTTTTGCCATGGTTACTAAAAATAGAAATTTCTGTGAAATTCCTTTAAATTGCTACTTCTCCTACAGTTTTGGTGTGATTTCAATATAACTTGGCACACAAGTAGACTACACTAAGATACATAATTTAGTGCATCGGTTTTTGATTTTGATGAACGGTGTTGTCATGGGTACTAAAAATAGAAATTTCTGTGAAATTTCTTTAAAAGGCTATTCCTCCTTCAGTTTTGGTCTGATATTAAAATAACTTGGCAAACAAGTAGACTACACTAACTAAAGATACATAATTTAGTGCATCGGTTTTTGATTTCGACGAACGGTTTTGCCATGGTTACTAAAAATAGAAATTTCTGTGAATTTCTTTAAAATGCTACTCCTCCTTCAGTTTTGGTCTGATTTCAATATAACTTGGTGCACAAGTAGACTTCATTAAGATACATTATTCTATTTATTGCTGCATGTTGCAAAGTTTCAAATCCAAGTGCTACTTTTCCTTTGTTATATGTACAGACCAGTAGAGCTACAGTCTCATCAGAGACTTCTGATTTTAATGGATCCAGAATATTAGTCTACCTAGCTCTAGAAAGCAACTGCATAAAATCTCAAGTTTCTGGGCCTCAACGTATACATGTATATATATATATGTGTAATAAATGTATTTTTTTCATTTTAATCTTAAACTCTTTCCTTAATATGTTTTCACAGAAATTTTTGTATAGGTTTAACCTCATTTAAAAAAAGTGTGTCAATATTCCATCGATCTCAAAACTCTTCCAATTGTTATACCTAGCTGTTCGATCTGCCTGAACGCATCTCATACATTAGTGTGTGGTGTTACGGAAGAATTTGCTATTACGAGCTGGTAGTCTGACAGCTTATTAGAGGATTTCCCATGTGTTCTTGTCCAAAAACGATGTTCGCGTACGCAGAGATGATCATTCAGTGTGAGTTTATTGTGTAACAATCTTTAAAATAAACTGGCAAGCCTATAAATGAGTCATTTGTTATTGTTGATGAGCATGATTTACGTATATACGTAAACAATTATAAACATGTATATCCTTATAATTGTTACATAATAAGCAGTACTAGGAAGATATCAGTTCTTCTACTGTTCAGCTGGTCCTTCTTCAATTCGTTACTCTAGACACTCCCCACCCCATCTCCCTCTCTCTGCTTCTTGTAAATGGGGCTATAAGGGAAAGCAAGCCTGCTGTGTTTTAGAGAACTGAGTATTCCTGTGTGCTTTTCGATAAGAGGGATGTATAAAAGTGTTGTAAAATGACCCCAAAATATAGATCTCATTAAAAAATCACAGTTTTCATTTATTTGTTGTGATTGAAGTAAATTAAGACATGGCGTATAGACAATCCTCTAGTCGGTTAAAAAGAAAAAAAATCAATGCGAATTAGAATTTATATTGTTCGGGGTCATATGATCTGTACAGAAACATATATGTTGATCAGTGTTCTGTCATGTGACGAGCCAGCAGACATCCTGAAAATATTTTTTTTTCTTTTACACGTGGCTGGGTAAGTTTTTTTTTCCTTTCTAAAAATTAGTCGAAAAAATTAATTATATGTCATAAACAGTATGCCTTACTCATTTAGAATTTTAGAGTTTAGAATTATACTCGCCATCGATTTATTGTCTGTTTGTGGAGGACACTGCATGTTTTTTTCCCCACATTTTTCTATTAGAAATGAAAAGTTCCTTCAGTGCATTTAAGAGTGTACCATATCTTCCATACTGACTTGTGTATCGATCATCCTTGGTCTTCCAAGGTCAGTAGAACATTACTATCATATACAGGGGCGGATCCAAAATTCTTTTTTTTCAAAGAAAGGGAGGGAGCTCCACATGTCAGACTCGGAAATTTTTTGACAAGAGTCTTCCCACAAATAGTCATAACACCAGATTTTATTTTTAATAAAAAATTTGTGGGAAGATACAGGGAAAAAATACAAATACTTATATGAATCTTTTGAATGAGTGAATTGGGATTAAAAAATCCGATTTTCGCTTTTCTAATAATTTATTGAGAGAACTGAATTCTCTCAATGGTTTGATCTAACAGTGAATTCTGTGCTATAGTCTACCATGATAAGGGATGGTGGGACGGTACTTTTGGCGGTATCTATCACGAGGTCCTCTATGGCTGTTGCCGTTTATGGTAGCTTGAGAGGTCAGCTTATTGTCGTATGTTATCTGTAAAAGTCTTCAGGACTATATCAGGGCAGGAGAATTTGGGGCGTTGCATGAAGAACATACTTTGCATATATACTTCAGGGTCCATGTGTGGGTACAGCCTCTGGTAGCTGCTAGGCTGGGGGATATGTCGTGTCTTGTAAAGTCTGAGGAGATCAAGGAATGGCTAGTCTCACGCACCTGGACCAGCACAACCGTCTCAAAGGTGAATGATTTGTGTTTAACTAAATTAGTTTGAATTTTATTTACAGAAAACAGAAGGAATTTATTGATGCACTTTATAAGTCCAAGACGAATGACAATTTGATTTAGCATGAAATCACACTGATAAAATATGCCTGCATAAGCAATATTTATTTGCAAGCATGGTTAGCAAAGCATTGCAAAATGAAAGGACTGCAGTCTTGTGAGAAAGAAGTGAAGCTCAAAATTAAATGTTTCTGACATAATTATTTGTAGCATAATCTTAAATTTTGTTTCTCGGCAATGGTTTGCTGGTAGCCGTAGGAATATTATCATGGCCATACATATTTATCCAAGAAAAAAAGGGGTTTCAATATATATATAACTAATTCTTTTGAAATAAAAAAAAGAATTGATTTTTCAAATTAATTAAAATTGTTAATAGGACTCAAATTAACTAAAATAGCCCCTTTTCCAACAGACAAGGTGTCGGCCAACAAATTTTACTCGTCCGAACACAGATATATTAAAGGTTTTATATACAGATCGTCTGAACAAACATAAAGAAAATTGTAGAACTTTATTATTTAGACTGCAGAAGCTATAAAAATATTGACTTAAAAAGATCTGTTTGCTCATGAAAATTTAAATATTAGATCTACATCTGTAGATGAACGATATTCGGTGAGCTGAGCCCTTAATTAAGATATGTATCAATAAGATGTTTGCTACTAGTATTTTTATATTTTTAAAATAAAAATTATAGCTTGTTTGAATTGTGTGTGGATTTATTTACACTATTCCATAATAGAAAAATAAAGTTTATACTTGTGCAATTGGACAGCTATTTGTGGAGATTGACTCGTCCGTTTCAAAATGAACTTGACAAGGAAAATCGGGCAAAATTACTTTAGATTAGGTTTGTTACTTGACTGTCCACAGAAATATGTCGGGTTGTTCAAGTCCATGGAAGGCGAGGCGAAGTAAGTTTTAATGTTGAGCCCTGATCAGCTGATTGAGTCGTGCAATACTAGATCTACAACTAAAAAATAAAATTCTTGATCTTTATGATTTTAAGCATTCCGCGGATAAACTTGCGATTCTTTTCAATTAAAAATTGAAACGCGCAGTCAGTGGCGGATTTAGGGGCAATGGGTGTAGCATTTGGGTACTAACCCCACACGGGTGTTAATCACTGCGCCTCAAAACCATGTGGCCATGAAGTGTATTTTCGGCGATCGTACATTTACATTAAAAATGCGCCCATTAAAAAAAAAATCTTGGGGCGCTCATGCGTGGGGTGTTCACTTCTGGTGTTATCTAGAGTGAAATGACAATAACCACAGCACCCCTCCCGAAGACAGACTGGTATTAATTGCCTGTCTCTATCGTACGAAAAAGTCTGTATATCGCGCATATCAGACAGACAAGGCCAGTCTATCCCGAAGATTAATTAACGGATTAAGTCTAGGTAAAATGAGTAGCCCCCTGATCTCCAAATCAACACAGTAGTCAGACACAAGTGAAAGTGTACGTAATTATTTAGGAAGTTGATTTCAAAGTATGGTTCTAAAGTTATGGGGAATATTTTTATATTGTCAATAAACTTATTAAAACTCTGCCATAAATAAATGGAATTTATCTATAAGTAATTAGCTAAGCCAGACACTGTTGCAGCATCACCTGTACATACACCTGTACACTTTGTTCTGATTATGAAATTTGTTTACAAATATCAAGGTTAAAAAAAAAACTTAACCTGATTTAAGGTCATGCTGGTACGGACAGGTCAACGAGGGGTTCAGAAGGGGTACTAAAAGAAAAGCTCACTAGATCTACAGTGTCAAGATTTAACAATTCGGAAACAGCAACCTGTTTAATAATATTCAGCAAGATGCATAGCCCCTGGCACTGTTTCTAGCAAATTTTATATGGGGTGGACCGCAAGTATCTGGTTAAAACTGGAATGTGGTGTTTACTCCGCTCTGTCGAACATTGCCCTTCAAAAAAATAGTGCATTAGTTGTTTATAACTGATAATCATGTTCTTGCTCCATCTGAAAGAAAAGTGATATATTTACCAAAGAAATATTGCTCTCTAAGTTAATAATAACAATTTGTTATGATGTGAACAAAATTATCTACATTGGCTTAATGCCATATCGGCGTAGTAATATCTGAGTATATAAGAAAAACTGGATCTCATTTTCCTCAAGCACAAGGGTTTCATAATTAGGAAGTCAGAGTACGTCAGACATTTTTTTTCGATTTTGTCAAGGTTTTCTGTTTCAATAGTACTACATCACTGGAATCACTAACGTTTTTTAACCATGTGTGTCTAAACGTTAGGGGTAGGTGCCCCTCGTTGTAAGCTGCACAAAAAAGCTTCAACATTCGAAGAACTGTTCCAATTAGGACCGATTCGACTACACGTTTTTGGAATTGAATATTTGTAAACAACATGGATATAGTGAGTAAATAGAACATGATGTAAATGTGTTCCTCGTTAACTAATAAGTATCGTAATTAAGTATTTATTGGATAAGGAATAAGTGGTTAAAGTTTTCATATGCTGCGCTCAAGAAGGCCAAATCGCCTGATGAAAGAGATATGTCGTGATGCGTAATTTATAACTCGACAATACAAGGATCATGTAATTCTTTTTCAGTCGCCAGTTGTCAAGTCTTTTCTTGCTGGATGTTGTAGTGGGACATGCTCCACACTTCTGTTCCAGCCTCTGGATTTGGTCAAAACCAGAATCCAAATCCACGTCCCACTGGCTTGTGCAAGGTGTGTATTCGATATTGAAAAAAAGAAAAAAACGTTCGATTTGTAACAGTTTAATTATCTGCTGTTTATCATGAAAGGTAATGAAATAATTTTTTGCTTTGTTATAGTGGGGTGAGTGGAAGGATTGGTATGGTGTCTGTAGCTAATGCTGTGATCAGACAAGAGAATGTGTTGGCTCTGTGGAAGGGACTTGTACCAGTGAGTATCACATGGATGAAGAATTTGAGAATTTTAATTTTGATTTTATGTCCCATTTTTGAAAACGAATATGGGTATAATCTGGTTTGCTTTTTCTCTCCAGTCACTGTCCCGATGCGCCCCAGGAGTTGGAATTTATTTTTCATCTATCCATATGCTGAAATCAAAATTCCAGTAAGTATTCAGTAATTCACCAAAACCATCATATAATGTATAAAGTAATAATATGCTTAATGTTATGATCTGATGTATATTGTATACATATATTATAAATGAATTCCTTGGGTTTGCAGGTCAAACCAACAACGTGCACTTGAATCAGTCATGATTGGAGCAGTTGCTCGGACAATTGCAGTTGTAACCCTTATCCCTATCACAGTTTTGAAAACGCGGTATGAGGTGGGTACAAAGAATGAAGCAAAATATTTATTATCCTCTGTGACTTTCTTGAAGTATTGCACAATGTGGTTTATGTGTAAAGTTTTTGATTTGTATAAGGTCTAGGTAAATATTGTATGTTTCAGAGTGGATTGTTTGACTATAAGAGTATTTCAAGAGGACTTCTCCATATGTATAATACAGAGGGCTTGAGAGGTAAAGCGCTTTCCTGTCTATATTATTTAGCATTGAAAAGCTGTGTTTATAAGTGATGACACTGACTTGCCGATTTTATCATTGTAGCTCTCTGCAGTGGGATGGCACCAACACTGATAAGAGATGTACCATTTTCAGGAATATACCTCATGTTTTACACCAAGTTTAAGAAGATGGTCAATGAAAGTAGGTTTACAATCGATTTTTAATCCTTGAAAGAAATTTTTAATGTAATCGGTGATTATTAATTTGAGTTGTACAATTTACACATCTAGTAAATACTTTTAATTCTTCTTGGATTTGCTTCGATAACTTTTTTTGCAACTTTCAAATTGCTTGCTTTAGAATTACATACAACTGTTTATAAAAAAAATATCATTTTTTTCAAATTTTGAAATGGTTATGGTATATTTTGATGTTTTGGCATTGCTATTACACTTAGCCACATGTATTACACTTGATCTTGTATGTATTTAATGTCTATTAATTCTTGTTTGGGTTTCCATATTTAGATCAAAATAACTTGAGCACTTTGGAAGTGCACCAGAAAGTTATCAAGCTGTCCTGACTTTCTAGTCAGAATTGGTCTTCTGATGACTAAATCTGATGACTAACTGAACTTCTTTTTCCAGATAGATTGTTAAAGTACCTCAAAAGCTGTCCGTTAATGTGAGGTAACGTTGGTTTTGATGTTTTCACAGAATCGTCAATCTTCATGACACTGCACACAAACAGTTTGCTACAGTTAACTGTTGTGTCAACAATTGTAGAGCTGTTGTGGTAGTGTTGTGAAGACTTCATCTTGCCATGTTTTTGTTGCGTCATCGAAGATGGAGAAAAAGTGCATGACTGCATGTAGTTAAAATGTTAGTAATGTAAATGAATTAGTTTACGGAGAAAGCTTAGCCTTGTTACATTTTCCCTTCCAGGGGTGTATGATCAAGCCCTTCAAACACAAATGTACTTTGCCTGTGGCTTAACTGCTGGGAGCATTGCAGCAGTTGTAACTCAACCAGCAGATGTCATTAAAACCTACATGCAGACAGACTCCAAGAAATATCAGAGGGTCTTGACAACCATACTATACATCTATCAGGTAAAATCCCCCTACCCCTTTTTCAAGTAATTAAATGTGAAAATAAAAAAAGAATGAACCAAAGCTGTAGCTTTGCTAAAGTTAATACCATTTATTAATTTTTTTTTACCTTAGAAAAATGGATTTAATGGATTCTTCAAGGGAATTGTTCCCAGGACTCTTCGACGGACTTTGATGGCAGCCATGTCCTGGACTGTGTATGAAACTGTAAGTTTCCAATTTCAAAATGCTATTTTTTGTTTAAATTTAAAACGTTTAAAAAAAACATGGATGTTGCAAATTTGTATTCATTTACTCAATTTTCTTGATTTACAGGTTTCCAGAAGAGTAGGATTGTCTTAAAGATCAATGTTAAAAATTAGGAGCAATATACAATACATCTATACTAGTATTGTCATGAATTTGCACCATATTGGTACCTCATGAAAATTAAGAGAGAAAGATTTATATAGCTTTATATATGGAAGATTTACATATTCTTCTTGGATTTTATGCATTGTGTGAATGATTTGGTGATTGTTGAGGAATATGTGAGCTCAGAAGACATTTCAATTGTTTTTAATTGTTTTATTTACATCAGCATGTATGTTAATTCCCATGGAATACTTGAGAAAATATGAAAAATAAATCTGAAGCATTTTAAATTTTTCTGTGTTCAGTGGTATGCGGTACAAGTTATAGTACACTTAATTGATATCCTAAAAGAAAAATTATCCAATTTTAACTACAGGTCATAAATAGTCTTGGATAATCGTGTTCTTGAAGGTAAATACAATTTATAGAATTTGATATTGAGGATATCAAAACGGGAGTACCTTTACTTAAAAATGAATAAATTTTGCAAGTAAACTAAAATTAGCATTTCATTTAAAACGGGCTAAAATTCTAAAGTCTGCAAATGCTATGCCTTCTAATTTTTTTTTTCAAATTCCACCTATGGTAAAAAATCCTAAAATTCACTAGTGCATAGTCTCTACACATATTAAATTATTAAAATAAATTTTCTTAAAATGATTTTTAAAGGGAGAGAGAGAGAGTGAACGTAAAAATACATGAATGAATATAGTGTTTAGGGTTAAGTAAAAAAAAAACAAACTAATATAGTTATTAATTAATAACTATATATTAATGTTAAATGAAATTGATAGTATTAAAATTTAATTTTTCACCTTCTTGTTTGTCACACTATAGGGTTTTTGCTCGTCATGTTCACCCATCTTCTTTCATATATTTGAAGATCTGTTAATTTTATATATATATATATATATATATATATATATATATATATATATACAAGACGTCACGATTTTCCTGATAAAACTCAATATATTGAGCTTTAAATTTAGATTGTAGTAACTTTTGCTTGGTCACGGCTGATGCTAAAAAATGTTACACCATGTGAGAGTGCAAAAGAAAAAATGTAATGATGCCAAAAATATTGATTTTAAAAATCTGTATGACAAAGTCAAACAAAAAAAATTTTGGAAGTGCAAAACAATTACTGATATACCATTTAAAGGTTTAGAATGTTACATGTATCACAAGCAGCACAAAATGAGTCAAGTATCTCTGCGTACCCATCTATGTCAGGAGGGCAACATTTGATGTTTCGTTCCCCAACTTGGAAAAACATTCAATTTTTTTGCTTTCCTTTTTGGAAAATACACAAGGAATATTTTTACCAAATAAATCTATCAACTACAGGATCTGTTTGTGTTTCAAGTCTCAGATCCGGTGCCACACATTTTTTATGAAGATTCAAGTTCAATGATAAAATGACTTCTTTTTAATATACTAGTGAGAATTTTTGATCACTAAGCATCTATTTGAGTAATTTAGTACTAGATTTTATTTAACCAGATGTTTTTATCTTTTCTTCTATTTTTTTTAAAAGAAATTGAAGAAAAAGCACAGAAAAAATGTAATAAAATTCAAATAACTCCACCACGATTTTACTATAGCAATGGAACATGTTCTGAAGTAACTTATGCTTCACAATTCTACTTTTAGGTTTAAGTCCCACATGCTCTATGTTAGGAATGCAATAAAAATGCTAGAATTATCAATGATCAATTATGAATAAAAATATATATAAACAAAAATCGAGGAGTAGAATATTTCTGGTTGACCTCGGTTGCTAATAGAGTTTCCCATGAAGTAAAATGTCCTATAAAATAAACTCTTATCTTCGTACTATATTTTAAGCTAGGAATACATTACTGGGAAATAATTTGTCATATGAAGCCAAGTTTAAACATTTTTATATTTTTTAAACATGAAGCATTGGACTATAAATAACGCACAATTTCATAGCAACTTGATGTTGCCAGACTTAATTTATGAATTTTTGTGTTCTATGACTTTAATTTAAAATCTTACAGCAGTCAGGAATGCAACAAAACTGTTTTATAATTATCAATGAACTTCATCTCGATTTACTTCAAAATACAATTGCAGAAAATGCTTGATACTATTTGTATATATAGTTTAAGTCATTATGTATATCAACAAATCACAGACATTTTTGAACATTTTAAGACAATTCACAGGATAGTTTTTATCACTAAAATTATGTTTTTGTTTGTTTTTTGTTGTTATTTTAAAACAAAAATTATTTCTATATTACTAAAGCAAATAAGCCTATTTTGAAGTCAAGAAAATATGAAAACATTTACCTAAATGATAAAAAATATTAACGACGAACTGCTTTATAAAATTTGAAAGAGATGTGCGTTAAATTTAAAAAAAAAAAAACAAACCGATGTTTAATAAAAGTCATACTAGATGTCAGGAGTGCAACAAAATAAGTTGAAAGAGGATCACTTTAAAATCTAGTATTATTTTTTTTTAAGAAAAAGAAAACTTACTTTTAATATCACAGTTCTTTTCCCCTCTTAGATTTGAAGATTTACTAAATTTAAAAAAAAGTGTAGAATGTAGTAATATTTCCTTTTTACAAATGAAGTTATACTAATAAAAAATTCTGAAACTTTTTATGCATTTGTCAATTTTATTGTCAATTCGGAATTTTTAACTGGAATGTGAAATTTTTTGTCAATAGGTTTTGTTAGATACGATTGCAAGCAGAAATTGTCAATTAAATGTTGATATAAATAACCCTATGGAGAATTTGATATACTTTCTATTATATATTGCTTAAAAACATTTAAAAGTTGTTTTACTGTGCTATAAGCTTTATCATGTAACTGAGTTTCTGTAAAAATTTGACTTAGTCCTAGAAAAGTCTTATCTTTTTTAAGTTGACAAACAAAAATTTGATGCATGAATTGGTATATATTTTTTGACTGATTTTGAATGGAAATGACATGAATAATCAATGCCTAAAATATAAAGAAATCATAAGTTTTCTTTGGTGCTTAGATATGCAACTTTGTATCGTTTTCTATTCAATTCTTTACAAAATTTTGGACATATTTTTTAACATTGTGACACAGTCTTACAAAATTCTCCTACCTTACTCGGAAAATATCATTCAGGGTACCTTTTTGAATATTATTGCTGATTTCTGAAAAAAAGGTTTGTTTGTGTTATTTATCCTTAATTTGTACAAGCAAATTCAAAGACCTGTGGTCCCCTGCTTTCGATGTCTTAGTGGATGGGATGCTATTATTTATGGCATATTGTGACTGTCTTGATTGTGTGTCCTGTCGTGTCTGTGCATCATACGAAAAAGACATAAATCATTGAATTAATAACAGTTATGGCAAAGATTTGTCAAATGTAAATTCCATATCTTCTCTCAATCAAAAGTTATCAGCAATGTTAAAATTTTTGAAAATTAGGTCAAACTTGAAGGTCAAGGTCATAGGGTCAAATATCATAGCACATTCAGAAACATTTCGACACAGGTAATGCACTCTTCAAATATCATATGTCATTCAAAAGTAATCACCAAAGTTAAAATTGTTGAAAATTAGGTCAAACATGAAGGTAGAAGTCAGGGTAAAATAAAAAATCATAGCATGCTCGGAAACATCTTGTCACAGGTAATGCACATGTCAAATATGAAAGCCCTATCTTTTCTAAATCAAAAGTTAAAACCAAAGATAAAATTTTTGAAAAGTAGGTCATACGTCAAGGTCACGGGGTCAAACACTATAGTATATTTGGAAAGGTCTTGTCACAGGTAAAGTACATATATATATAATACAGGGTGTTTCATAATATATGATACATTTTAAATCTAAAATTTGACAAGCACAAGAAAAAGATACAGACAAATGTTTTCATCATTTTGATGCATGTATCCATTAGATTTATTATGTACAACTACCAACTAAAATGTTAAACTCTGGCCGAGAGCTCAAACTTTAATGAAAATTAGCGAAATTTCTAAATTGCGTCATTTTGTTACGTTGAATTTCACAGCGTCAAAACTCACTTAAGATAATCAAAATGATCTCCGCCTTTTTCAAATGCAAGATAAAGTCTTGATTTTTTAAAAATAATTGTCACACATTTTTGCTTAGACATTCCTCATCTGAAGTTTTTTGTTCTTTTTGAGCACACACAGTATCTGTGGTTTAGGATTTTATACAATGTTCTTAGGAATCTCTAATTAAAGAAAAAAGCATAAAGATTGAGATTTGGCAAATGCAGGGGTCAAGTTCTTTCCTTAGAATGTTGCATTTATGAGAATTTGTAAGTTGATAACTTCATTTCATATTTCAAAGTTTAATGTACTGTAATGTAAATGGTGTTACTAAATTTGAATTTGGCGCCCTTAGTTGGCAAGTTACGTTGACTTCCGCTCTGAGGGTATATAAACGTTATACCGCTAGCGTCAACACATTCAGTGTTAGTTTAGCTCGCTCCAGAAGCAGAACCGTTCACGGTAGCTCAGTCGGTAGAGCGCTCGCTTCGTGATCGGGAGGTCGTGAGTTCGAATCTCGATAAAAAATGGGTAGCAACTGTTCCTTCGCCATGCGCTCGGCACTTTGAAGTGAAAGTTGCGGGTCCTTCGGATGAGACCTTAAAAACCGAGGCCCCGTGTCACGGCAGGCGTTGGCACGATAAAGATCCCTCACTGCTCAATGGCCCTAAGTGCCGAGTAAAGGTCAAAATTTGAAGCCCTTCACCGGTATATGGTGACGTCTCTATATGAGTGAAAAATTCTCGAATGGGACGTTAAACAACATACAATCAATCAATCCAGAAGCAGAAGGTTGTGTACAGAGGTTTATAGGTAAGCCGACAGTTTCCCATAAGAGAACGTGGATTAAGTATCCTTACTCTCGCGGGGACAGCTCGACAAGTCCTCAGTGGACATAGTGTCTTTTTGTGTGTATAAATAAAAGTGCTACGTTGCTGAGTACTCATTTGTTGAGCACCCATTCCTTACGCTTTGGAAGGTTTTACTCATCTGTTGAGTAACATTTTAAGTTATATAATTTTGTGTATAGATTTGTAGATCTTAGTTAATATTTTTGATAGTGATTTTATTAGTGATTAATTAGTTAAGTAATTAAGGGTAATTATCATTTTTATTTTACATGAGAGGAACTCGTTTCGCCTTATTTGTATATTTTGCAGGCGATAATTTTTTTTGTATATACGTTCGCCGTATTTGTATATTTTGGCAGGCGATATATTCTATAAGTATTATTTTGAGTCTCGGTCTCAG